CAGGTTATCATACTGTGGCCCGGTTTTCAAAATTCAGCCAGGTTATCATTCAATGGCTAGGTTATCATACTGTAGCCAGGTTATCATACTGTTGCCAGGTTTTCATACTTCAGCCAGGTTATCATTCAGTCGCCAGGTTATCATACTGTTGTCAGGTTATCTTACTGTGGACAGGTTATGATACTGTAGCCAGGTTATTATACTGTAACCAAGTTATCATACTCTAGCCAGGTTAACATACTGTTGCCAGGTTATCATACTGTGGTCACGTTATCATACTGTGGTCAGGTTATCATACTGTTACCAGGATATAATACTGTAGCCAGGTTATCATAATGTGGCTAGGTTATCATTCTGTGGCCATGTTATCATACTGTTGCCAGGTTATCCTAATGTGGCCAAGTTATCATACTGTAGCCACGTTATCCTACTGTGGCCAGGTTATCATTCTGTTGCCAGGTTGTCATACTTTGGCCAGGTTACCATACTGTAGCCAGGTTATCATATTGTGGCCAGGTTTTCATACTCTGGCCAGTTTATCATTTTGTGGCCACGTTTTCATTCTGTAGCCAGGTTATCATACTGTGGCCAGGTTATCCTACTGTGACCAGATTATCATACTGTAGACAGGTTATTATACTGCGGAAGGTTATCATACTGTGGTCAGGTTATCATACTGTAACCAGGTTATCTCTTTGGCAAGGTTATCACACTGTGGCCAGGTTATATTGTGGCCACGTTATCATACTGTAACCAGATTATCATACTGTGGCCAGGTTATCATATTGTAGCCAGGTTATCATTCTGTATACAGGTTGTCACACTGTAGGCAGGTTATCATACTGTTTCCAGGTTATCATAGTGTAACCAGGTTTTCTTACTGTAGCCAGGTTTTCATACTGTGGCCAATTTATAATGTGGCCAGGTTACCATACAGCAGTCAGGTTATCGCATTGTGGCCAGGTTATCATACTGTTGGCAGGTTATCATACTGTTGCCAGGTTATCATACTGTGGCCAGGTTATGTTGTGGCCAGGTTATCATGCTGTAGTCAGGTTATACTGATGCTAGGTTATCATACTGTAGCCAGGTTATCATACTGTGGCCAGGTTATAATACTTTAGCCATCTTATCATTCTGTGGCTAGGTTATCATTCTGTGGCCAGTTCGTCATACTGTAACCTGGTTATCATACTGTGACAAGGTTATTATACTGTAGCCAGGTTATCATACTGTAGCCAGGTTATCATTCTGTAGCCAGGTTATACTGTGGCCAGATTATCATACTGTTGTCAGGTTATCATACTGTGGCCAGGTTATCATACTGTGGCCAGGTTATCACACTCTAGCCATGTTATCATACTGTGGCCACATTATCATACTGTAGGCAGGTTATCATACTGTTGAAAGGTTATTATACTGTAGCCATTTTATCATACTGCAGCCAGGTTATTCTGTGGCCAGGTTATCATACTTTGGCCAGGTAATCATATTGTAGCCTGGTTGTTATGCTGTGGCCAGTTTATCATACTGTGGCCAGGTTATCATACTGTTGTTAGGTTATCATACTGTTACCAGGTTATACTGTGGCCAGGTTATCATTCTGTGGCCAGGTTATCATACTGTGGCCAGGTTATCATACTGTGGCCTGGTTTTCATAATTCAGCCAGATTATCACTCAGTGGCTAGGTTATCATACTGTAGCCAGGTTATCATATTGTAGCCAGGTTATCATACTGTAACCATGTTATGTTACTGTAACCAAGTTATCATACTGTAGCCACTTTGTCATACTGTAGCCAGGTTATCGTACTGTAGCCAGGTTATCATAGTGTAACCGGATTATCATACTGTAATCAGATTATCATACTGTAGCCAGGTTATCATACTGTAGCCAGGTTATCATACTGTAGCCAGGTTATCATACTGTAGCCAGGTTATCATACTGTAGCCAGGTTATCATACTGAGCCAGGTTAGATTCTGTAGCCAGGTTTTTCATACTGTAGCCAGGTTATCATTTTTGTCCCAGGTTATCATACTGTAGCCAGGTTATCATACTGTAGCAAGGTTATCATACTGTAGCCAGGTTATCATACTGTAGCCAGGTTATCATACTGTAGCCAGGTTATCATACTGTAGCCAGGTTATCATACTGTAGCCAGGTTATCATACTTTAGCCAGGTTTTCATACTGTAGCCAGGTTATCATTCTGTAGCCAGGTTATCATACTGTAGCCAGGTTATCATACTGTAGCTAGGTTATCATACTTTAGCCAGGTTATCATAGTGTAGCTAGGTTATCATACTGTAGCTAGGTTATTATACTGTAGCCAGGTTATCATACTGTAGCCAGGTTATCATACTGTAGCCAGGTTATCATACTGTAGCCAGGTTATCATACTGTAGCTAGGTTATCATACTGTAGCCAGGTTATCATACTGTAGCCAGGTTATCATACTGTAGCCAGGTTATCATACTATAGCTAGGTTATCATACTGTAGCTAGGTTATCATACTGTAGCTAGGTTATCATACTGTAGCCAGGTTATCATACTGTAACCAGGTTATCATACTGTAGCAAGGTTATCATACTGTTGCCAGGTTATCATACTGTAGCTTGGTTATCATACTGTAGCTAGGTTATCATACTGTAGCTAGGTTATCATATTGTAGCTAGGTTATCATACTGTAGCTAGGTTATCATACTGTAGCCAGGTTATCATACTGTAGCCAGGTTATCATACTGTAGCCAGGTTATCATACTGTAGCCAGGTTATCATACTGCAGCTAGGTTATCATACTGTAGCTAGGTTATCATACTGTAGCTAGGTTATCATACTGTAGCCAGGCTATCATTCTGTAGCTAGGTTATCATACTGTAGTCAGGTTATCATACTGTAGCTAGGTTATCATACTGTAGCTAGGTTATCATTCTGTAGCCAGGTTATCATACTGTAGCCAGGTTATCTACTGTAGCCAGGTTTATATACTGTAGCCAGGTTATCATATTGTAGCTAGGTTATCATACTGTAGCCAGGTTATCATACTGTAGCCAGGTTATCATACTGTAGCTAGGTTATCATACTGTAGCTAGGTTATCATACTGTAGGTAAGTTATTATACTGTAGCTAGGTTATCATACTGTAGCTAGGTTATCATACTGTAGCCAGGTTATCATACTGTAGCTAGGTTATCATACTGTAGGTAAGTTATTACACTCTAGCTAGGTTATCATACTGTAGCTAGGTTATCATACTATTACTAGGTTATCATACTGTAGCTAGGTTATCATGCTGTAGGTAAGTTATCATACTGTAGCTAGGTTATCATACTGTAGGTAAGTTATTATACTGTAGCTAGGGTTTTTATACTGAGCTAGGTTTTCATACTGTAGCTAGGTTATCATACTGTTGCTAGGTTATCATACTGTAGCTAGGTTATCATACTGTAGGTAAGTTATTATACTGTAGCTAGGTTATCATACTGTAGCTAGGTTATCATACTGTAGCTAGGTTATCATACTGTAGGTAAGTTATTATACTGTAGCTAGGTTATCATACTGTAGCTATGTTATTATACTGTAGCTAGGTTATCATACTGTAGGTAAGTTATTATACTGTAGCTAAGTTATCATACTTTAGCTAGGTTATCATACTGTAGCTATGTTATTATACTGTAGCTAGGTTATCATACTGTAGGTAAGTTATTATACTGTAGCTAAGTTATCATACTGTAGCTAGGTTATCATACTGTAGCTAGGTTATCATACTGTAGCTAGTTTATCATACTGTAGGTAAGTTATTATACTTTAGCTAAGTTATCATACTGTAGCTAGGTTATCATACTCTAGGTAAGTTATTATACTGTAGCTGAGTTATCATACTGTAGCTTGGTTATCATACTGTAGCTAGGTTATCATACTGTAGCCAGGTTATCATACTGTAGCCAGGTTATCATACTGTAGCCAGGTTATCATACTGTAGCTAGGTTATCATACTATAGCTAGGTTATCATACTGTAGCTAGGTTATCATACTTGCCAGGTTATCATACTGTAGCTAGGTTATCATACTGTAGCTAGGTTATCATACTGTAGCCAGGTTATCATACTGTAGTCTAGTTATCATTTCTGTAGAGGTTATCATACTGTAGCTAGGTTATCAAATACTGTAGTAGGTTATCATACTTAGCCAGTTATCATACTGTAGCTAGGTTATCATACTGTAGCTAATTTTATCATACTTTGCTAGGTTATCATACTGTAGCCAGGTTATCATACTGTAGCTAGGTTATCATACTGTAGCTAGGTTATCATACTGTAGCTAGGTTATCATACTGTAGCCAGGTTTTCAAAACTGTAGCTAGGTTTTCATACTGTAGCTAGGTATCATACTGTAGCTAGGTTATCATACTTAGCCGGTTATCATAAATGTAGCTAGGTTATCATACTGTAGCCAGGTTTATAAATGTAGCCAGGTTATCATTACTGTAGCCAGGTTATCTTTCTGTAGCTAGGTTATCATACTGTAGCAGGTTATCATACTGTAGCTAGGTTATCATACTGTAGCCAGGTTATCATACTGTAGCCAGGTTATCATACTGTAGCTAGGTTATCATACTGTAGCTAGGTTATCATACTGTAGCTAGGTTATCATACTGTAGCCAGGTTATCATACTGTAGCTAGGTTATCATACTGTTGCTAGGTTATCATACTGTAGCTAGGTTATCATACTGTAGCTAGGTTATCATACTGTAGCTAGGTTATCATACTGTAGCCAGGTTATCATACTGTTGCTAGGTTATCATACTGTAGCTAGGTTATCATACTGTAGCCAGGTTATCATACTGTAGCCAGGTTATCATACTGTAGCTAGGTTATCATACTGTAGCTAAGTTATTATACTGTCGATATCTAAAAATCTTGTTATGTAATAAGGATTGTTTTTAACTTTTATTTATAAGAGAGACGGCAGACTGACAGTTGACTTCATTGTTGAACAGATGAGAGTGAAGTCGAGGTTGATGTTAGTGGTGTTAGTGAGGAAGAGAGAAGTGTTGCTCGCACTCTGTTATTGACTGTTGCTCGAGTCTTGGGGCCACAAGTTGCCCGAAGTGAGCACCTCTCACTCAACACGTCATTCTTTGACATCGGTGGCAACTCCCTCAACTCAGTGATGGTAGTGACATCACTAATTGATCTGGGCTACAGTATAGGTAAGTGGAAGTTTACAGTATAGTGTATACAATATATTGTATGTCTCATGTTTTATCAGAATGTATTTTTTTTTCTTAAGTATAACTTTCAATGATCTGCTAGGATTATCTTTCTTTTTTTTGCTTGTCATATCTTTCTTCCTATGACCCGACATCTGGCAGTAGCTGTCAGCTAAATCAACAGTTACCAACATATTCCTTTGTCTCTCTAGACTACAGAGAGATATATGATAATAATGACAACTGTTGATTTAGCTGACAGCTACTGCCAGATGTCTAGAGTATTTGCTACAAAGAGTCCCAGACTTGTCTTATGTTGCAGGTATTGGTCAAATTAGACACATGTGCAACTCTTGGGTATCTTTATTGAGGAAACGTTTCGCCACACAGTGGCTTCATCAGTCCATACAAAGGATAAACTTGAAGAACAAGTTTATCCTTTGTATGGACTGATTAAGCCACTGTGTGGCGAAACGTTTCCTTAGTAAAGATACCCAAGAGTTGCACATGTGTCTAATTTAACAACGTGTCGGTTCTTTGAACCATTCATCTACAATACAGGCATTGGTCAGTTCATGAAGGCCAAGACTCTTGGGGAAGTTGCATCACAGCTGCAGAAAGCGAGTCTTCAGGAGGAAAACATTGGTGACATGTGTAAACCAGCAGATGACACTGACCAGTACACCTGCCACATGCTCGACTATCATCATAAAGAGGCTGTCATATCGTGAGTATACTTCCAGCCTCACGCATTATCACTAATTACTGTAAACTTTTTATTCGTTTTCCCAGTTAAATAAGTTTATCTAAATATTTTTCTCAATCATTGATGTCTTATTCTTTCTAAAAATGCTTATTTGATGAGGAAAAGATGGAGGTAGTCGGGTGTAGAAGCTTTTTTAGAGATATAATTCAGCTTCAGGTAATGAATGTTCAATATGGGTCATTTTGATCTCATGTTAAGTGTGATAAACAAATGTCGATGAATATACAGGAAGGTGGACGAAGAATCGAACCGCAGTCCATAAATTGACAGTCCGACGCTCTACCGTCTAGGCTAACCAAGGCCTCTAATAGGAGGAAGAATTTGGAGCTAATACTGTATAACATTCCGTCAGAAGCACCAACTGTAACCTAGCTGAACTGGGCCGAAGAGTTCAGGTGGGTTACAGTTGGTGCCACTGACGGAATGTAATACCATAAGTATTACCTTCCGAATCCTTCGTATTGGAGGCTTGAGTTAGCCTAGATAGTAGAGTGTCGGACTGTCAATTTACGAACTGCGGTTCGAGTCCCTCATCCTCCCTTTTGTTTGTTCCGACTTTTAACCCACATATTCCTTTGGGTAAAAAGAGGTTAATTTCTTGCCAGTAACACCTGTATGAGATATAAGTATAATCAATATATTAGTGAGCTTATTTCTGCAGACCAGATCACATCACATTACACCAACAATTACTTAACAACACCATCAGTACTATGTCCAAGATAACACATAACATACTAACAAAGAAACATACTTCCACATGATACACCACACGGACTTACAAGGTTAGGTTAGATAAGGTTCGTCAGGAAACAGGACAAATGTTTCCTGACGTGGATCTTAGTCAGATGATGACCCACCTCCGGAGCTTTTGGTCATCTGACCAAGGCCTTCCGCTGGCTTACCGGTCCACCCCTTTAAAAATTATGGTTATTTATAACCATTTATTCAGACTTACAAGACAGGATGATAGCAGCCACGGGAAGCCCTGAACACTTCAGGCAGGTCACACTGTAGTACAAGATAGGATGATAGCAGCCACGGGAAGCCCTGAACACTTCAGGCAGGTCACACTGTAGTACAAGATAGGATGATAGCAGCTAAGGGAAGCCCTGAACACTTCAGGCAGGTCACACTGTAGTACAAGATAGGATGATAGCAGCCACGGGAAGCCCTGAACACTTCAGGCAGGTCACACTGTAGTACAAGATAGGATGATAGCAGCTACGGGAAGCCCTGAACACTTCAGGCAGGTCACACTGTAGTACAAGATAGGATGATAGCAGCACGGGAAGCCCTGGTTGTACTGAACACTTCAGGAAAGATACAACTTCAGACCAATGTAACAAAATAGACATAATGAACTGTGCACATATATGTATACACACATTTTTGAACAGTAGTATCGGCGCTGCTCTGGCAAGACAGTGCTGGAGTAAATGATGGTAAATGTGTTTCTTCTTTATCGGGTCGCCCGGACTTTGTGCGAAACGGTCGATGTGTTAATAAAAATAATAATTATATTTTGTAGACTACATGTGTAGCGTAGTACATCAGAGTAGACTGCACGTGTAGCCTGGTACATCAGAGTAGACTGCATGTGTAGCCTGGTACATCAGATTAGACTGCATGTGTAGCGTAGTACATCAGAGTAGACTACATGTGTAGCCTGGTAAATCAGAGTAGACTGCATGTGTAGCCTGGTACATCAGAGTAGACTGCATGTGTAGCCTGGTAAATCAGAGTAGACTGCATGTGTAGCGTAGTACATCAGAGTAGACTACATTGTAGCCTGGTACATCAGAGTAGACTGCATGTGTAGCCTGGTACATCAGAGTAGACTGCATGTGTAGTCATGGTACATCAGAGTAGACTGCATGTGTAGCCTGGTACATCAGAGTAGACTGCATGTGTAGCCTGGTACATCAGAGTAGACTGCATGTGTAGCCTGGTAAATCAGAGTAGACTGCATGTGTAGCGTAGTACATCAGAGTAGACTGCATGTGTAGCCTGGTACATCAGATTAGACTGCATGTGTAGCCTGGTACATCAGATTAGACTGCAATGTGTAGCCTGGTACATCAGAGTAGACTGCATGTGTAGCCTGGTACATCAGAGTAGACTACATGTGTAGCCTGGTACATCAGAGTAGACTGCATGTGTAGCCTGGTACATCAGAGTAAACTGCATGTGTAGCCTGGTACATCAGATTAGACTGCATGTGTAGCCTGGTACATCAGATTGGACTGCATGTGTAGCCTGGTACATCAGAGTAGACTGCATGTGTAGCCTGGTAAATCAGAGTAGACTGCATGTGTAGCCTGGTACATCAGAGTAGACTGCATGTGTAGCCTGGTACATCAGAGTAGACTGCATGTGTAGCCTGGTAGATGAGAGTAGACTACAAGTGTAGCCTGGTACACGAGAGTAGACTACAAGTGTAGCATGGCACATGAGAGTAGACTACATGTGTAGCATGGACATGAGAGAAACTACAAGTGTAGCCTAGGCAATGAGAGTAGACTACAAGTGTAGCATGGCACATGAGAGTAGACTACAAGTGTAGCATGGCACATGAGAGAAGACTACAAGTGTAGCATGGCACATGAGAGAAGACTACAAGTGTAGCATGGCACATGAGAGTAGACTACAAGTGTAGCATGGCACATGAGAGTAGACTACAAGTGTAGCATGGCACATGAGAGAAGACTACAAGTGTAGCATGGCACATGAGAGTAGACTACAAGTGTAGCATGGCACATGAGAGTAGACTACAAGTGTAGCATGGCACATGAGAGTAGACTACAAGTGTAGCATGGCACATGTGAGTAGACTACAAGTGTAGCATGGCACATGAGAGTAGACTACAAGTGTAGCATGGCACATGAGAGAAGACTACAAGTGTAGCATGGCACATGAGAGAAGACTACAAGTGTAGCATGGCACATGGAGTAGACTACAAGTGAGGGATGGCACAGGAGAAAACACAAGTTAGCATGGCCATGGAAAGACTACAAGTGAGAAGGGCCCTGAGGAAACACAAGGAGCATGCACAGAAAAACTCAATTAAAGGGAATGAGAGAGACTACAAGTGAGCTGGCAATGTGGTAAATACAAAGGGGCATGGGACTGTGAGAAACTAAAGTGAGCATGGAAAGGAGTAACTAAAAATATAGCAGGTACATCAGAGAGAGCATGTGAGCCCATAGATGAGAAAGGTACAAGTGAAGCGGTAGTGAATAGAAAAAGATAGATGGTACATAGAGTAGATCCGTATTGCCCGTACTCCACACGCCTGTACCCACATCCTGACTCCTTCATGCCTGTACTCCATCACTGCCGTACTCCAAAAAGGGGCCCACTCCTCATCCCGACTCCATCATGCGTACTCCACACTGCCTGTTCCCCCTTTACTGCCTTATCCTCACGCCGTCTCCAAACAGGCCGTAACTCCTTCACTTTCCTTCCCCATGCCTGTACCCTACTGCCTGTACCCACTGGCCGTACTCCATCACTGCCTGTACTCCCTCACTGCTGTACCCACACTGCTGTACAAACAGGCCTGTACTCCTCATGCCTGTACTCCCTCATGCCGTACTCCTACTGCCCGTACTCCATCACTTCCCTTTTCCCATCACTGCCTGACTCCAAAAAGTGCCGTACTCCTTCACTGCCCGTCTTTCCATATGCCTGTACTCCACAGTGCCCGTACCCACATGCCGTACCCATCACTGCTGTACTCCCTCACGCCTTACTCCATCATGCCTGTATCCCATGCCTGTACTCCATCATGCCTGATCCCCAGTGCCTTACTCCAACCCGGGCCCGTATCCCCCCACTGCCCGTACTCCAACATCCCGAAAACCATCAGCCTGTACTCCATCGTGCCTGTACCCATCACTGCCTGTACTCCATCCCCACTGCCTGTACTCCCACTGCTGTACTCCAAACATGCCTGACTCCACAGTGCCCGTACTCCTTTTGCCCGTACTCCCCTCATGCTGACTCCAACATGTTTTACTCCCAGTGCCTGACTCCAAACATGCCCCGTACTCCCATCCGCCTGTACTCCATCACTGCCTTTACTCCCTCATGCCTGTACTCCAAAAAAATGCCTGAAATCCACTGCCTGTACTCCTTTACGCCTGTACTCCCTCCTGCCCCGACTCCTCAGCCTGTAATCCCACTGCCCGTCTCCCCAGGGCTGTACCCCAACAATGCCTGTACTCCCTCATGCTGACTCAAACATGCCGTACCCATCAGTGTTTTACCCAACAGTCCTGTACTCTTCAATGCCCGTACTCCACATGTGTCTACATCCTGTACTCCACACTCCTTGTACTCCCCAAAAAAATGCCGTACTCCTTACTGCCTTTACTCCCTCCCTGCCCGTATCCAACATGCCGACTCCTCACTGCCGTACTTTCCCTCACGCCTTACTCCATCACTTCCGGTTTTCTCCCATGCCGTACTCCTTTTGCCTGTACTCCACCCCCCCCCCCCCCCCCCCCCCCCCCCCAACCCCCCCCCCCTTTTTCCTGCCCGTACTCCATCATGCCTGTACTCCACAATGCCTGTACTCCTCACTGCCCGTCTCCATCATGCCTTACTTCCAACATGCCCTTTTATCCATCACTGCCGTACTCCCACTGCCTGACCCATCACTGCCTTACTCCACTCTGCCCCGGTACTCCATCACTGCCTGATCCATCACGCCTGTACTCCCTCACTGCCTGTACTCCCTCATGCCTGTACCCATCCGCCTGTACCCCAATCCATAGCCTGTACTCCAACATGCCTGTATCCAACTTGCCCTTTAAAATCCTTTTCACTGCCTGTATCCACCGCCCGACTCCTTCTGCCCGTAAACCCATCACTCCGTACTCCATCATGCCCGTACTCCATCCTGCCTGTACTCCAACAGTGCCTGTACCCTCATGTCTGTACCCAACAGTCCTGTT